ATCCAAGATAATCCCAAGCATCTCTTTATGTCCTTCCTCAAAGGATCATCAACCTAATACTGTTTACAAGCATGACATAAGTGCTTCTCAAGGCATTTTATTTCCAAGCAGAGTTGACAATGTTCCCTATGTTGAGGAATCAGTATTCCAATCTTCCCTTACAAAAGAGTTTATCTCAGTTATCATAATCATATTCATAGCATGCACTGATCATATATCATGCATAGAAGCATATTCAATCATAGTTCATAACATGAACCATGTTTTGAGTCCATCTGAAGACAATCATCATTGCCATCAAGCATCTGCCCTATGTTATTCCTTATTGAGTTTCTTCAAAATCCTGTTGTGGTCCAGCTAATCTGCCAACCTCAATTGTTGGATGTCTCTTTAGTTGAGGAGCTTGTTGTACGTCTAACTTCTTCATTTGAATATCTCTAACAGACTTATTGATATCTAATTCATATTCGAAGAAATTAGAGAAAAATAAACAATGAAGTTGCCATCGAATATTTATTTATCCCACAGAAGGAAAAGGAAAACATTTAAGAAAACCTGAGAAGGGAGAAATCAAATTCTCGCAATCAAGAGAACGAGTACATGAGTCAATTACTCAAATAGAAGGTATTACCATCCCTCACGTTCGTGGTACTCCACAGAATCCACCCTTGTTGTTCTAATCAAAGGGTGTGTTCAGTCTAAAACTAACAAGCTAAGAGGTATGCATGAATGCAAAATATTATACAAAAAGAAAGTTTTTATTAGTTGTGTCCACCATGGTTGCAAACCTTTGTGCTTACGTACCCTCTTCGTACAATGAGAGATCAAGACACTCGTAGTTCACCTAAAAAGGTGTTTTGGTTTGTTTGTGTTTTTTAGGAGGATGATGTTACATTCTAACTCTAGCAGTTGACATATTCCAACACGACCTTTAGGGACTTACGTGTCGTATTACACAGAGTGAAAATAACACATCTTTTTTGTGAAAAGGTTTTCAAAAGAATATAATCCCATCTCTAACGACACTTCGTCATCTCTCTGAATGGTACATTTTAAGCCCATTCAAGCAATATTATCAACCAACAATGTTACCTCTTTCAGATGCGAGTGCAAAGTTTGGGGCACTTAAGTGTTCAATCCTCTTCTACCCTCAGATCACGAATGGTGGACATGTCAATCTAACTCTTCAAGTTTAAGAAGATTGAACAGGGGCAGTTATTATACCCAAAAAATTTCCCTCCCATTTTTCTTCAAGATATCTTCTCATGCTTCAAGGGTTTTCATTTGCTCAAGGTTGCTCAAGAATTGATCAGACAAATTCTCCTCCTAAGCAATTTACCTACAACTAGGGTTTCACTTTTATCAAGTAAGATTGGGTTTTTAAGTCCTCAAGTGGATTTCAGGGTTCCTCATATGTATCAAGGAATGCTCATACCAAGTTTCAAGCCTTGCATCACAAGTTTTCTCAGTCAATGGCTCGAATGGTTGAAAATGAACTGTATTGGATAAAAAGTCAATTGTAGTCAACATACAATCAAACTTCAATATTTTTGGTCAACATCAATATTTTTAAGTTATATTCATCATTTGATCAAGGTTTGATCATGATTCATCAAGAAAACTCAAGATTCATCAAAAGTCAAAAGTTACTAAATTAGGGTTTTCTTAAGGAGAAGTCAATTGAAATTTGACCAAGCATAACTTTCACATACTTCATCAGATTTTTCTCAACAAAAGCTCATTTATATGGAAATTTATTTCTCTACAACTTTGTCTCTCTAAGCTCAAGTCCAAAAAATGCTTCATTTGAAAGATATGGGCCAAAACATTATAGGTCATTTCAAAAGTCAACAAAAAGATACTTTTTGTCAAGGCAACTCACATCAAGATAAAGTCTTCAAATGAAAAAATGATAAAAACGGGAATTGTATAGGACATCTTGAGCTTTCCAAAAAGTCAAATATCACCTTGAAATTATAAAAATTGAGAGAGTTATAATTGGTACAAGTTGGGAAATTTTGAGCAAATGCATGAAACCAAAAGTGACCAAACTTGAATTTTTGGGATATTGGGCTTGTGATTCAAAGTCCATGCGTGATATATGCCTCAAGATGAACCTCAGATCTTATTCATGCACCCTTTGACCTTTTTAATTTATTTATTTTGATTTTTATTAATTTAAAGTCAAAATTAAATGAAATAAAACAAAGGCTTCTTACAAAGGTCCAAGCCCACTCTTTGGATGAACTAATTTCAAGCTATATAATCTCCTCATTCAAACAAAGGCATAAATGAAATCCCTTGCAAAGAAACCTCTTCCAAACTTCCAAAAATATCAAAAATATCAAAAAATAGGGCAAGTTGAAAACCCTAGTTGCAGCCACCTTCAAAGCATTCCAGCCCTTTCAATCGATCTTTGAAGAGGTATAGGGTAAGAATAGATCAAACTTGATGATCCAAAGCATACAAAACCTGCATGCATACATCTCCGATTTCATTATTTTTTTTCAAATTCATATTTCAGTTTTCATATTGTTTTAAGGCATACTAATGAAACAAATGTTTTTTTGAGATATATTAGTGCAAGGATAACCCAAAGCATGAGCCCCATAATGGCTAAATGGAAGCTTGTCATGTTGATACTGATTTGAGTTATTTTTGTTATAGCTCACTGTTGTACCCCAAAATTTTCCCTCTCATTTTATCAAGATTTCCCCTCACAAGACTCTTTGGACTCCAGACAGGATTAGGGTTTGCTCTGCTCAAGACATCTCCTTGCACTGTTGACCTGAAATTAGGGTTTGAGTTTGCACAGGGATTTTTGGACTTCCAATGCCTCATGTGACTTTCATACTTCTTGTTGAACTCCTAAGATTGCTCATACCAAGTTTCAAGCTTTGAATCAAATTTTTGCCCAGTCAACTGGGCAGTTGACCTAAAAATCAATTGTATTGGGGAAAAAGTCAATTGTGACCAATTTACAGTCAAACCTCATAATTTTTTATCCACATCAACATTATATACTCATATGAACCATTTGATCAAGTTTGGACCACAACTCCTCAAGAAATTTGATCAGATCATCAAAAGGGCAAAATGGTCATTTTTAGGGTTTTGACTGTAGAAAGGCAATTTCTGATTTTTTAACCTAGCCAATGGAAAATTGAGTTCAAGCATGGATTCAAGGACTCAATGGCATCATCTTGACCTAACCATAAGGTTCAAAAGATCTCAAATGCATTGGATTGACAGATGAATTTTCCAATCAACTAATCAAAAATCAATTGTACACTGAAAAGTCAAACTTTGACTTTTTGGTCAAAATCAAGTGCCAAGGGTCATTTTTCATCAAGATGTGTCAAAACATGAAAATTGTTCACCAAGAAACCTAATTTTGAAAATTATGGTTTAAAATGGAAAATTTTCCCAAAACCTTGAGCGTACTTTTGTGCCACGTAAAATCCTTGATGCTCTCATCCATTTTAGACATTCAGCTTGAATTCGATGATTTACATTCTCTTCTATTTCTCAATCGTTTTGTATTATGGACTCGAGATATTTAAATTGCATGACTTATGAGATTATGATTGCCACCTCTAGATTAGAATTGCTTCTCTTTTTGTGAACTTACATTCCATATGATCTGAATTACTTCTTTTTAGGCAAAAGTCATACGTTTCTAAGGCTCGTCTCTAACCTCTCATTTAAAATCTCTTTTGACTCTTCAAGTAGGACTATATCATCTAAAAAACATACATCTCAGTGCTAGCTCTTGAATGTGTTCTATGAGTATATCTAAAATCAAAGTAAAAATGTAGCAACTTAAGGTTGAACACTGGTTCAACATATTGTAGTGTGATAATTGTTCGTCTTCTAACTCTTTATTTGCATACTATAGTCGACACCCTTTCATACATATCTTGGATAGCTCAAATATAAACAATCATATCTCTAAGGCTTTTCACAAAATCTCTCTAGACACTTTTCTATGTCTTCTCCATGTCAATGAAAATTAAATATAAATCTTGTTGGTCTATCTGATATTACTCCATCACACGTCATAGTAGATAGGTCGCTTCTATAATCAACCTCTCAAACATAAACCAATTTGATTCTCCGCTAAATCATTTCTCTCTTAAAAATTCCCTTAACTTGCACAATTTTATATAGCCAATGTTCTTAAGAAAAAAAAATAATGTGTTTTTTTCTATATATCCAATATTTTTTTTACCTCTAATTTCATTAAAGAGTTTGGTAAGTTTCAATAGATTTATCTCCAAGAATTTATTAGATATTATAAATTTATAGTATGATTAATAATGTTAATCCCTCTAATTTGCACATTTTTATATAGCCAATATTCTTATTAATAAGAAATGAGTTTAGCGAGTCTCAATATGTCTCTCCAAATATTTATTAAGTATTATTTCTCATAAATTAATAGTATGATTCATAATTTTAATCCCTTTAATTTGCAAATTTTATGTAGCCAATGTTCTTATAAATAAGAAATTTTTATAAATAAAAAATGATGTGGTTTTCTTATAAATAAGAAATTTTTATAAATAAAAAATGATGTGGTTTTCTTATAAATCTAACATTTTCTTTAACCTCATAATTTCATTAAAGAGTTTGGTAAATCTCAATGGGCTAAAATCAATCTCATCCAACACAAATTTAAAACAAATTCACAAGGTTAAGCAAAGCATATTAACGAAGCAAAGCAAAATTCATGTTTTATAGATGTAAGTATAGCCTAAACCTTTTGCTTAGCCAAATGTCATCTGTGAGTTGTGCGTAAAGTGGCATGCATTTGCAAACTCAGTAAATAAGGAATAATTAATTTTCACATTATCTTTGACAAACTCATAAGCCAAAATTTGCTGGACACAAAAGGCATCTTTCCCTACCTACCTCCCAACAAAAAATCCTCTCCCAATTTTGAGGTAGAAGAGAAAAAACTAAGCAATTTAAAAGAACATCTTGTGATCTGTGAGTTGTTAAGAGCTTTCATCCTGTGCATCAGACGCGGATTCTTTCAAACATGACCTCATAATCTTTGCAAGCTTTGCACAAGCATCCAAACACAGCTGCATCCCCTGCAAAAACGAAACCAAATGTTAATTGACAATGTTTTATTGCGGTCTAATACGATTTTGGTGGCATAACAAAATTCTAGATGCCAAGGTTTTAAACAAAAAAGGTCTGTGACATCAATCAGGCCTGCAACATCTACCACAACCGCTACAGAGGTAACACTAACCGGTGATTCTCTCCAATGTTAAGGATTATGATGCACCCTCAACCGAAGTTTAAAAAACCTTGCTAGATAGATACTTCCGTTTCAAGCAAGATAAAAATAGGACTGAAAAGAAACTTATGAATAAAATAGGAATGCAACCAGCACAAAACCATGTATGATCCACTAAATTATTCTTTTTTCACCCAGTAAAGTGAGACTGTATCCTGATTAAATTCACAACTTAAAAATAGGCATTATCAAAAATCAAAAATATTTAAAAAAATTTGAGCATGCAAACCTCGTTAATCTTTGGGGTGGACCATTCCCCAGTAACTGTCAGTTGGGTGATTTCATAGCGAGAAGGCATGCAAGTAATCATTAAGCTTCCGTCTTGGCAGTTTTCCTCCTCCGAAATAGGATCAATGACAAGGCTCTTACCAATACATGACTGGAAAAAAATATATACATTTTATATGATAAAAATGAACTAAATTAGACTCAGCAGCAAAGTAAGCATGCCCAGAAACAATAGTTCATGGCATGGTCATAACAAGTAAAGGCTCATTACTCCTCATGATGATTTTATAGTAAATTCGAAGCATAAATTAGAAAATATTATAGTAATTGGAAATTTCATGAAAGTTTAAAAATGGGAAGCAGTTCAAACACCCTACAAAACAAGCACATACGGCACTGAATTCAAATCCAAGTAAAATTCATACCACAGAAACTGCGGCCACAAGGTCATACATCAGTATTCCAGCATCTGCCAAGGCAAGACTAGCAACTGATATGACAACTGGAAGATCACCTACAACCAGATTCAGTGTTATTAATAGCGGATCGATGAAAATCCGAGTGGATAGCTTAGCAGGAAAAGAGCCGAAGTCATAAAGTAGTTGAAATAAATAATTATATGTAAAATAAAGCAGGTTACACACAAATAAAACCTACATAAACAGAAATCAAATTAGGCAGGGGAGATATAATAGAAACGAAAGTTTTAGGGAAAAACAGAGGAATAGATGAAAAAAAACAACAGAAAAAAACAGAGATGAAATGAGAATCGAGAAATCAAATTAGGTAAGGTAAGTGAAGGGGAATAGATGAGTTTACTATGCTGTGGGGTTTAGGGGTTAATAAGACCACATCTTATCACCAACTCGGCATTATTTTATTTATTTTTTAAATTATATCATGTGCAGCTCACATAGTGTTGTTAATAGTTGATTGCCAAAAATCCGATATGAGAAATAGTGGATAACATAGCAGGTAAAGAGAGGAAGCCGCGACGCGGTTGAAATATAAATAAATGTATATAAAATAAAGCATGTTGCACGCAAATAAAAGCTGCATAAACCTAAATTAAAAAAGTAACTGACATTAATCTCAGTATTTCAAACAGCTAATAAAGCATGATGCATAGTTGCATCCGTTGTGGGAAGGAGATGAAGGTACAGAGTGAAAACAGAACGATGAGTTGTGTCTTTACCTAAGTTCCAATACAAAATAGTGGTATAACAGTGCTCTACCAGTTTTTTAACAGCACTGAGCTCACATGTTGTTGTTAATTACTGTTTGCTTGTTGTGTATGAAACTAGTCAATCCCACTTGATAGAATAAAGCTTGATCGCCTTTGCGTTTCGGGAAAAAAGCATAAAAACAATAACTACCGCTATGTAAGCCATAATCTTATCACCGGTATGCAAAAAGTCACAAATCATGCAGGGGTAGCAAAATCACAATAGCCTATCGGTTTTCATCGGGTTTGCTCCAAATCCTATGATGTGTAATCGCGGTATAGCACTAGACTGACCAGTTTTAAAATATTATTACTGCTAGAAACTTCACAGAGAAACAAATAGAACAGATTTAGCTTAATGGTTTCGATTAAATTGCAGCTCTGACCTTCAATAATATTAAATATGATCATTCAGTGTTGATTCTTAGTTTTTTAAAATGTATTAAAATCCAAAAGAAATATTTATGCCTGATGCATCTCAGACAAGTTCACTAAAAACTGGACTACCACACAAGATCATATCCCTACCTTAATGTAAATGGTAAAGGTGTCTATAAAAATCTACAAAACTATATATAAATGTTATGTGTACAACAGTTATTATCATGAATAATATATATCCCTTATGTACTTGGCAGTATCTTGCAAAGAACTCGTGTTAAGATTCTTGGAACAGCAGTAGGTAGAAAGAGGATTATTCACCCCTAAATTTTACGGATAACGAAAGAAAATGATACAGAGGATGCTACTCCTCTCACACTAGAAATTCAGTCAAACAAGCTACCTTCCACAAAATCTGAAAGTCTATTTATCGATGTGTTCTAGTAATTGATATTCATCACATTTATGATCCCTATAATTTCTAACCTATCAATAAAAAACATGACTATGAATTAAATAGAAAACCAAACATAAAATTGTAAGCTTACTGCCACTAGATTCCAGCACCAATGCAAACACATCCACAGTGGTCTTGGGGAAACTCTCCAATATTATGGCACCCTCCAAAGCTTTATGAAGCATAGAACTGTATTCTTTGTGATCTGAACCCTAACTTACATATATAAGACATCAAACGCTACTCAAAACAATCAAATCATGATTTAAGAAAGAGTCAAAGAAACCAAACATTACAACATTTTACATACCTGACCGCGAACCGGAGTTGAAAATGTCGTATAGCTGACATTGCAATTCAAACGCCCCGAATCACTATACAACATTGCTTTCTTGCTCTCTCTTGGCCCAAATCTATATTTTTTTTAAAAACACCAGGCAGAACACACCTCATCATGTTGATCCAAAGCATGAATTGACATATTTGTAGTGAGATAGATAAAAGAAAACACTCACACAGAAACAATGACTTTGGTGTTTCCGAATTCGGCATATGCAGATCCTGATGCAGCATTCACAGCACCAGTTCTGAAAACTGCATGTTACAAAAATCATAAACCTAGACTTTTATCATACATAAAGAAAACTTCGTAACAGAGAGAGTAATAACAACATAAACAACGAAACTGTGAATGTAACGATTTTTCGGTGAAATGAGAGAAAGAAGGAAGGTATTGAGTTTGAAAGATTGAGGAGGCTTACATGCGGGTCTACACTGGTGGAAACCACGGGCGTCGGGTCGGATCCAATTTTCCTTTAAAAGTGTTGATTTCGTTTTACCGGTGGTTGGAGACGGTGAGTAAGTCGCCGGAGTTGCGCTTTTACCGGCCATTTATAAAGGCGGTGTCCACTCTCTGTTGCTTCACTTGTTCTCTTCAGGTTTCTTTGATTTTTTTTTTTTTTGAGAAATCTTTCGCTTTCTTAAGCTGCTGTTGTGCGTTTGAGACTAAGGATAATTTCGAATTGGGCCTTTAATTTGGACCGGGCCTTTATCGATTTTATAATAGAATTTCTTAAAACACTATGTTTTTATACTGCACCGTGCGAAAATACTTAAATGTCTTTAGATTTTAGAGATATATCTCTGAAACGTATTAGGATGTGACAAACATCTCGGAGATATATTTCTAGTATCAAATCGGAAGTATATCTCTGAAATAATGTCATACAGAATAAAGAAAAATAAAATTGAAATATTAACTTCACAAAATCAAAATACCATTGATATCATAAAATAAGCAATATATAAGAGATTTTAACATAGATCAAACATTACACTTCAACATCCAGGTGGACGTTGCAACATCTTGATAATATTATTGACCGATCTCGAAATAGTCTCATCCAGCTCGATCGAAACTTTTGATTCTAAACGGAAAAAGGTTTTCCACATAGCCTGTAAATCAGCGTTCTTCTTTCGCTCATGGTTGTTGAACTCAAGTTTCCCTTCTTTGTCAACAGATGGCGAACGTTACTCGATCTTTATAATTTTTCGATTGTCACCAGGAGCTCCTGCAATATGTATTGCAAATCTTCCGGTATTAGTGTGACCTTTTTCCATGAAAATCATATTAATGTGATGAATGGGAGTTGAAATGAATGAACTTAATCTTAAATTCCACTTCCTTTAGCTCTTTTTGATATGATGGACCACGAGAATGAAAAGTTGGAGTAAAAAAATGAATTGAGAATGGAAAGATTTTTGGAGAGGGTTTATGGAAACTTTTGGAAATGAAGATGAACATGTTGGTTCATGTTAGTTGTTGATTTAAGCAATTTGACTTTTGATTTTTTCGAAAATACACTTCCGGCAACATCTCACATGCAAACGTGACGTAACTTCCAATTTTCTGCACTAATTAAACGGGAATACATTTATGGTTCCCTTCCGTAGATGCACATCTCCAAGATTAATTGAAGTTTAACAAAAAAATGTGTGTTCCGGAGATACACTTCAGGGAACGCAGGGGCAAAATTGGATTTTCAATGGGTTCTTTTCAATGGCATAGGGTGTGATAAGAAATCCCCTTTTATAATAAACTAGCAAAATATAGAAATTTATCATTGCACCCTTATACATTCTCTCAAGCTCTGCGCGAAATTTCCAAAATATCCCCTATTTTCGGAGATGCATCTCCAAATGCACCATTTTTTCACAAAATAATTAATTTCGCGGATGCATATCTTAATAAACCTTTTTTTATAATAATATTTTTAGATATGCATCTCCGAATAAACCTTATTTTTTACAAAAAAAATGGTGAATTCGTATATGCATATCCGAAAGATTCATTGTTGCTTTTTTTTTAACTTAGTATTGAATGTATTCAAATCGACACGTCTGGCAATGCAATAAATATGTAAATACCATCAATTTTCCTAGTGAGAAAAACAATTGGAAAATAGAAAAACGATTAAAATAAAATTATAAAAAATCTGAAAATACAACTAAAAATTATATTAAATATCTACAAATTTTTATGGGTTTTTTCAAAAATATAAAACGAAAATAAATCAATTAAAATAGAAAAACAAAGAATTTAGGATTTTTAGGGTGGTGTCCCGTATTTTTTCTGATGAATTGGCATAGTAAAATTTTGACTCACAGTCGTTTTCCAAAAACTAAGTTTTTTACATTATGTCGCTTAAAGGCCAGAAATGCAGGAACGCAAGGGCCAGAACACGGGGATATAATTCATATGAGTCTAATATTGGTAAATATCGACAGAGAGTCCCCAGCAACTGCGTCAATTTCAATGGTAACAGAAGTGGCGCACCCCACGTAAAAACGCTAGGTCTAACAAATTTCTTCTCAAAAAATTCTCAAGTTGTTTCTTTAGCTCACTCAACTCTAAACAGACATTTGATACAGAGTCATTTAAATAAGACTAGTATCGGGTATTAAGTCTATGCAAACTCCACCTCACGCTCTGGCGGCAAATCATTGATATCATCAAGGAACACACATGGAAAATTGCAAATAACAGGTATATCGTCAATTACTCCTTTATCGTTTGCATTCGACGAAGCTAATATCATAAACACGAGAGCACCATCTTTCACATACTCATTCACTTTCTTAGCAGATACAACCAGATCTTCTTATTCCATGAACTTTAGAAACATCATCGTCTTGGCGTAGCAGTTGATATGAACGCATTTGAACTCTAACCAGCTCATCCCAAGGATAACATCAAGTTGATTCAACTTTTCTCTCTGGCGCCAAGTTGCAAATATCACTGGGAAAAACATCAGGAAACTCACACACAACTTGCATATCAATAGCCATATCAATAGCGAAAACCATCAAATAAGCATGCTTCTTGAATCAAATAAGTCACATAAAAATACTTCATTAAAACTAAAACAAGTATGGTAAAAGTCTCTGCAAAACAACATAAGCATCTAAACATCGATATTCTAACATCCAACTCTCTAATTAACATAAACGAAAATAAAAACATCATCCGCCCAACCCAGTGTTACAGATCAGAGCAACATAATTCTAAGAATGCAAAACGAAAAAGAGAAGAACAACCTCAACGCCATCCTTCCACTCTAAGCATCTACTCAATTATTTGCTTATCTATATTCTGAAGAGAAGCACATACCACAACAACAACAAATGGGTGAGAATTCACATCAATAAATTAAACGGTATAAACTGCAAGGTAGAACATATATAACTACACATAGTTCACAACAATCACATAATCATATTCCCACACCCAACTCAACATCATACACAGTCATGATTAAGCATACAACTATTATGCAATGGACTCAACTATGCAGCTCAATGCACATGCATATGGTAATAACTCAATAAATGGTTACTCATTTGAATCGGGCACCACACCAAACACCGACCCCCGTACCGAGCTCTAAGATCCAACTCCAAGCTTGGGACAAGTCACAAAATCCCGCACCAAACCTGTGAACTCGCCTTTATCAAAACAACAACAACATATGATGCATGTCATACAATGTCAATGCAACTCAACAGCAACCATAACATTTAATGTCCACATGGTCCGTAAATAATATGAATTGACAACAACATAATAATACCACACCAAATTATTACTCAGCAGCCACTAATAACAACAACACAACATAATTACGCTTACACAAAATTAAGTACTCAACCATACACATAACAACTCAACACGATATTATCGACACATTTTCCCCTATTCATCATCTATCAATTATTTCATAAAGTCAATTAAATCATATTTTAATCATCAATTACATCAAAATAGTCCCAAATAGTTGCTAACAATAGCCAAATAACCAACAAAACTCGGGAAATCGATAATTTCAACTTTCGTATAAACAACTCTCATATAAACAATTAAGGCATCTACAACAATCAATGCATTATCAAATAATTAAATGTTAATACATCACATTCATCCTCTTAAGGAATCATCATAAGAAAAAAGCATGTGTTAGCTTTCCAACACTTTGAACCGCGCGTCAAACAGAATTACGGAATCCTAGTTACGACATTTTCAAGTAATGTTGTGCTATCAATTTTACCGGAGAGAATCTTGCTCGACGGGAGAGGTTTCAAACCCAAAACCCCATTTTCCTTGCATAGCTCGCCAGGAGAGCCTCTGGTGTCGCCGAGCAAAAACGCTCGAACCTGCACTCAAAATGCAATTTTCACCATTTGAGGCCTTTCGGACCTTAGATTTCAATTCCGTTAAAAGCCTCGATCTCAAAATTCAACATAAGACAATTATATAATAATTAAAATAGAAAATTAACACATTTACACATTTAATCCATCAATCCCTCAAAATCAAGTTTGCCCTAAAACCTTCAAAACCACCACAATGATGAAAAACATATCAACAAAGAAAAACATAATTTTCGCACATATAAGAACATGAAATTCATCATCATTGATAACACGTAACATCAAAACATAAACAAAATGTCAAACTGAAGCAAAATCCCAAATGCCTTATTGGAGGTTAAGGACTCATCATTTTACCCCTCATGCATGTACATGTTATTGAATCAATTCCCCCTTACCTGGTTATCCAACAGGAGTTGAATGATCCTGGTTTTTTATTCCCTAATCCCTTCCAAAATCTAAGCCTTCCATTTCACTTTATCTAGCCTCTTTCCCTATTCCCAATTTTGCTTTCACATACTGATAACCAAAAGCTCCCTAAACCTAAATTACCTCTTAATATATATATATATATATATATATATATATATATATATATATATATATATATATATATATATATATATATATATATATATATATATATATATATATATATATATATATATAGACACACACACGTAGGGTAATTTTATTTACAATTTTAATTATGATCCAACCTCTATCTCCCCTACTCCTTCCTTCCTCTTATTTCCCTTATTTCCACTTTTGGCTCAGAGTCTCTATTTTCTCATTATAATTAAATAAATCAAATGAACTACTATTATTTTATTATTAAAATACTTCTAAGTTAATTATATCAACTTCCAACTCTGATCACACTCTTACCTCAAGGACACACACCCTCAAACTTCATATCCCTCTAATCACAATAACACGATAAATAATTAAAACATCAAAAATCACCAATAATTCAAAATAAAACAATTAATAAAAATTGAGGTGTTACAGACAAGACACCTTATGAGGCTAGGATAGGGTCAAAGACAAATATCACTTATGTTAGAGTTTTTGGATCAATGTGTTTCAGGCATGTTCCTGAACAATTGAGGACAAAGCTAGATGATCAAAGTCAGGCCATGATACTCATAAGTTATCATTCGATTGGTGCATACAAGTTGTAT